TAAGTCTGGAAGGCTTCAACATTCTTGAGCCTCATGTTACTCTTTGAGTGAGGGATATAGAATCACTTCCTGCAGGGCCCTTGTCTGGCTGAGAAGCTGAGATGACCAAAGGCAAAACAGCCATTCTTGACCAAACCTGCCAAGGAACTGGAGTGTGAAGGGACCCAGCCTGGGGGACTTGTCAGAAGAGAATCCCTAGCCCCAGCTCCACCTCAGTGAATCAGGCCTTGGTGATTCTTGATCCACTGGGCACTCAGCTGCTCCCTGTGGCCCCTTCAAGCCCCAGAGAGATGCCCCATAGATCTGGGACACCCTTGGGGAAGAGGGAAATAAGGTAGGTCAGGTAGGCCCCACCCAGGGCCCCAGGAGCAGGAACTGTGGGCAGACTTCAATGGGAGGAGGTGGAGCCCAGTATGTGACCACAGCAGGGCAGTTGGCGGATTTCACTCTGAGGGAGATCCCCAGGGGTAACAGCCATGAGCCCTGGAGAGGGCTGGGCACCGGGTGTAAAGACCAGAGAAGGCCCAGGCAGAAGACAGGGTCATGTGGGCCAGGAATACTGGGAAAGCTCCTGTCAGCAAGAGGGACTGGTGGCCCCTCTCCAGGAAGTTCAAGCCAAGCTTCCACCCTGAGGGCAGATGAGGCCCACGACAGGCCAAGAGAGCTATGATGGCCCCCGGGAGGGCAGAGCCCTGACCCAGGCAGCGCTGGCCCCTACTGCTGCAAAGCCTGGCTGTGGGCACCCAAATCCTGCTGTCCCCAACACAGCACCACCAAGCACAGCCCCAGCAGGAAGGAGCTTGTCCAGCTTTCGAAGCCTATGAGACAGGTAAGGAGCCAAAAGAGTTATGGTGGGAATATGGGGAGCTCCCTGAGGTGGGAGCCAGGAGTGGGCATCCAAAGAGGAGAGCAGCAGTGAGGGGAAGAAGGGAGTGAAGGAAGAATCAGTCAGAGAGAAGGGGCCTGGGCAGATACTGGCTGTAATTAAAGTGCTGATATTTGTCCTCCACAGATTTTGTTTTGCATTGATTTTTAGCTTTTGATATTGCATAAAAATATAATTTATCTTGATGACTGAACTTTTGGCACCCCTTAAATTTTGCACTAGTGCCACTGTTGCCTCACCCTTGTCCTCTGGGTAGGGCAGAAACATGGAGGCAGGAGCAAGATGTACCCAGAGGCACTAATGGTTTTAGGGGCAGAACGTCTCTCTCTGTACCCCAAATTAGATCCTGCTGTTATCCCCATCTTGCAGAGGAAGGTAGAGGTCCAGAGACGTAAATTGACCTCCCTAAGGTCACAGAGCACAGGCACAAACGGTTTGGGGACTAGAAGTCCGAGGCCCAAACGCTGTGATCCCATCAGCGTGTCCTGTGTTGAAACAAAATGGTGCAACAGAAGAGGTGGTCTGCAAGGCAGTTAGGGGAGCAAGGGCTTGGCTGAGTCTCCCCCAAGGATGTCCACTCTGCAACTTTTTCATAAATACTTACAGGAGCCAGGACTGGGGACCCAAAGAGGGTGGACCTGAACAAAAGAGGTCACAGGCACAGGGACAGATCACACTGATCTGACAGATGCACGGGAACTGAAGCATAAGGCTGGCGCTCAAGGCACTGGGAGACGCCTGGGCTGAGAGGAGAGAAATGCGCACGGGCGCAGGTGTGCGGGGAGCACAGGTGCAGCAGGGAGCTCCCTGCCTGAAGCAGGGGTGAGCATGCGCGCCACGCCGTGCTGTGCATTGTGTTTTATTCCGTGCATTCTTGATCTTGGGGTACAGGGGAGTTGTTGAGGGATTTAAGCAGCAGACTGTCAGGGTCGGATTCGTGTTTGGAAAACTATTTTCGGATAGGAGACTAGTGTGAGGCCAGATTAGAGGACCAAGGATGGATAACGGCCAAAGCTTGCGCCTTCGGGATGGGGAGGAAAGGCCAAGTACCAAGATCTCCTATAAAATTAGCAAGTACCAGAGTTTGACCAGGGAGGAATGGGCACTCTCATGGACTGTCTATAGAAAGTCTAAAATGTATAACCATCTTAACAATATGCAGCAGGTCACTTTTTAAAAGTATATATATATTTAAATTGTGTAATTACACTTCTAGGAATTCATGGAGTGGTAAGGGTAGGGGAGGAATAATCAGAAATGTAACCAAAGGTTTACAAAAAAGAATGGCTAGCTCAACGTTATTAATGGTGGGAGAAAACTGGAAATAATCTAAATATCCAACAGAAAGGGTGTGACCAAATACCTTTGGAACATCCATCATAAGGAATCTTACACAAGCCTCCAAAACTCTCTTTCTGAAATTGGGCTTTTTTTTTTTCTCTTTCTGAAATGTGTGCACATTTTCAAAAGACTGTCCAAAAATATAGAAAAATGTCAATGGTATGTCTCTGGCTGATGGGACTTCAGCTCATTTAAATTTTTGCTTTCTAATTTTCTGTACTTTTGAAAATGCTCACAGGAAGATATATGTTTAGTTTTTATCTTCTAAAATAATTTTTAATATAAAAGTAACATGTACTTGTAAAAAAAATTAAATAAAAGATTAAGCAAAGAAGTATATTAAAGAAAAAGTCTAATGTTTCTGCTTACCATTTCCACACATCTTACCCTAAAACACATTCTCCAGAGATGACCGCTGTCAGGTTGGTCTATATATTTCTAATCCTTCTCCCATGTGGGTATGTCCCTGAAAACACACACACACGCATCTAGTTGGTTATACATCCATTATTTGAAAAAAATGGAATCATACTCTGCATATCATCCGGCAACCAGCTTTTTAAACAGCTTTCTACTGATGTTTTCTATCTCAATCTGTATGGATCTCCCATGTTCTTATAATGGCTTTGTAAGACTTCAAAATTTGGATGAGCTAGATGGTATGTAATCATTACCTTATTAATGGAAATTTAGGTTGTTTCCATTTAAAATATAAATTACAAGTGATGCTGTCATGGAAATACCCACATATGTGTGCATATGTTATGTGTGTGCTTGAAGTGCACTCAAGTGTCTACTTTGGACTAATGACTAATGACTAAACTGGAATTATTGGACCAGAGAGAATGTGCTTTTGAAATGTTCTTTATATACTACCCAAATGTCCTTCTGAAAGGCTGTCCCAGCTTATATTCACTGCAGTGAATGACAGTGCCCTTTCCTCTACATCCTTCCCAATACTGTGATACTGTTGACCCTTTTTATTTGCTCATCCCTGATGAGTATTAATGAGGATGTGTTTGTGTTTAATTGTTTATGTGATCGTGGTTGAGCATTCTTCCCTTCCATATTTTTTTGACTGATTTTATTTCTACTGTGAATTTTCCGGTCTATTTTTGCCTATTTTTCCATTTGATTCCTTGTATTTTTTTATCAATCTATAGAAACTCTTCATATATTTGTATGTGAATCCCTGGTTAAGTGTATATGTTGTAAATATTATTTGGTGGAATTTCCTTTTCATTTAATGACTATGGAATAAGATTTGACAGTGTCATTGGTGGATGTGTCTTCTGGTCCTTTGGGTCAGTAAGATCTCCCAAAATATTCTACTTCCCCTTAAAAGGTAGTGGCGGGGAGGGCAGAACGGTCGATCATGGGTCTCCCCCACCAGGATATGAACCCACAGCCTCCCCAGACCATTCAGTCTGCTTCCTGTGCTTGCAAAGGGCTTCTGGCATCAGGGGCTTCAGGAGGTCCAGCCTGGACTTGGCAAAACCACCACCCAGAATGGTTGGTAATAGCATCAAAGGGCCAAGGTCAAGTGGACCTTTTTAGGTAGCATTAACTACCTGCAGGTTTAGTGACTCCTCCATCTGATGGGAAGGGTGCATGATGGCAGTATTTCCTCTCTGTCGTCCCTCTCCTATGAGGACAGGGCAGCACGTGCCCATGAAGGGACTGCCTCGATCTCCTCTTTATTCTCCCAATGACACCTTGATATCTAGGGAAAAGAAGAAATGTAAATAATTCCCTATTGTTCCCCATTTTATAGAAGGACGGTCAGTTACCTCCATCTTCCCCTATTGATTTATCACTGCGTGATAACCTGGTAAACTCTTAGATCTTATGGATCAGTTTGGGGGTTCACACAAAGGTCATCCTCTGTGCATGATGGAAATGTGGCTTCACATATGGACATCGGTCCAGTGAGAGCCTCTTTCGAAGACTCCTAGGTACACACACATGACCCCAGGAGATTTCTAAGCTCCTATTTGCTGATTGAGGATATACTCTAGCTCATCTGTGCCTACCCACCCGGGGCGTGAAATCAGTCACTCACGCTAGTTCCAGTTAGTAGGAGTGGGGATTGACTACTCTTTGAAAAGAACAGAGCAGAATTCACACACCAGACCATTCCCAACATGAGACCAGAAAAGCGATTGGCTGGGGCTGCTCCCAAGGTCACCTGGACACGGGTTGGCATGTCCTACAGGACCAACCAAGACTTGACTTAGGACAGTTCCTCACTAGGACATTCCCAAGAAGAAAAATCTGAGCTTTCTAGACAGATGGCTGGGGACATAGGAACGTTCCAATGGCCCATGAACACATACCCACCTTCTTTTAATTGCAAAAAAGGTTTCAGAGGCAGGGTACACCCTCTGCCCTCAAGTCATGGTGTCACCAAGAATTGGGGTTGTTTGAACATGCTGAGAGGGGATGTCCTGTTCATCTCCATGGAACCTAACTCAAAAGGACACACAGGCCTTCCACAAACTATTCTACATCCTGGCAGATAGTAAAACCAAGAGCAGATAAGATATCAACTCCCTTTGGAAGAACTGTTTCCAAGGATCCTGTTGCAGAACACATGGGGTCACTGGTCCTATCATCTGCTAGGGGTGGGGGCCGTGTGTCTCCTCCATGCTGAGCAGATGCCAGCCTAGAGGAGTGCCCCCACTTCCTCCACCACAGCTGCAGGTGGGGGGCTAGTGGGTGGGGCACGGCCTCCCAGGAGGGGTTTTTGTATGAGCCTGTGTCACAGTGTTGGGTGTTCGGCGGAGGGACCCAGCTGACCGTCCTAGGTGAGTCTCCTCATCTCCCTCCTTCTTTCCCTGCTCTCCCAGAGGTTTGGGTGATTTTCTGCCTTTTTTTCTTTTCTTTTCTGTACTGTCTTAGCCTTGGTCATATTTTCACCTGGGATCCCAGCCTCTGGGACCCTGACCTCCTCCTCTCCCCATATGGATTTTCCTGCTTACTTCGTAGGTCATCACCAGCCCCTTACCTCCAAACCAAGAGGCAGGCAATGGTTGGGATGAAGAAAAACTCCTCTCTCTGCCTGCCAGGGTCATGCTGGGTCCTACGTGTGCTCTGTTCTGGCCTTGTTGCTCCACCCTTATCTCTGGGAGCACTGGGGTCCGCCAACCTAAAGGGAAGAGGGCAGAGGGAGCATTGGGGGGATGACCATTTGGTGCCTTTAGAGGGACCCAGCACCCTCAGGTCCTAGGCTGGGGACACACAGGTTAGAGGTTCTGAGAAGGCCCCAGGGCTCTGGGACAAGGATCCAAGGATGGTTGCAGGGGTGGAGTGGCTCCCGCCGGCCTCTCCAGGCTGCCACCCAGCGCTATGTGCGCAGAGAGCCAAACAACACTGCAAGACAGGAGAGAGCAGGGAGGACAAGGTGCTCCAGTCAGGAAGCCTGGAACAGGGTCATGGAACAACAGGGTGTGGGGGAAAGACGGACTCCTGGCTCTTATGGGAAAAGACCAATTACAAAATGAAAGCCAGATCCCGTTGCACAGTATAGCTACTGAACTGACCGATTGGCCGGGCGAAACACCAAGGGACAAGGCAGAGGGGACACCCAAGAACCTTCAGGCAGACCGTGATCTTATGGGGTCCTTGGCTCATTACAGACTTCAAGAGAGATACATTTGGGTAAATATAATTGCCACAGAGGAAAGATCCAGAGGCCTCCAGAGCATAAATACCAGATCACAGGAGACCACAGGGAGTTCTTGTCATCCACTCTGGGGACAGACAGAATGTCACAGGAAGAGGGCAAGAGAGTGAGGGTCAGGCATTTGTGTGACAGGCCAGGGCCCAGAGGGTTCTCAAGTCAGGAGATGGCAGGTGTACAGTGTGACAGCTACCCATGAGAGATGGGAAATAGTTGGGGGAAGATGCAAGCCACCCTCTTGAGAATAACTGCTCAGACAGAGGTTGGTCCCTAAACAGGGGCCCATGCCCTGGGCCTAGAGACCCACACCCACCTGATACACTAACATCAGGCTCTCCCGCAAATGGAAGTGGAATCAATGAACCACTGCCCCCACCATGCCCCGCAGGTCAGCCCACGTCCGCACCCTCGGTCACGCTCTTCCCGCCCTCCTCTGAGGAACTCGCCGCCAGCAAGGCCACCCTGGTGTGCCTCATCAGTGACTTCTACCCCGGCGGCGTTACGGTGGCCTGGAAGGCAGACGGCAGCCCCGTCACCCAGGGCGTGGAGACCACCAAGCCCTCCAAACAGAGCAACAACAAGTACGCGGCCAGCAGCTACCTGAGCCTGTCGCCCGACAAGTGGAAGTCTCACAGCAGCTTCAGCTGCCTGGTCACGCACGAGGGCAAAACCGTGGAGAAGAAGGTGGTCCCCTCACAGTGCTCTTAGGTCCCCGACACCCTCCCCGACCCAGCGGGGCCTGGAGCCACAGGACCTCCAGGACGATCTTCCCTCCCCCCAGGGTCATCCCAGCCCTTCTCCCTGCACCCCGTCAACACTCAATAAAGTGTCCTTTATTCAATCAGAAATCATCCTCTCTGCTCATTGCGTCTCAAAGCTCTGTGTCCTGAACTTGACCGTCTTTAGCGGTGAACTTAATTCTTCTGCCTCGAGGGAAAGGGGTCTACAGAAGTCGTCCTCCTGGTTTTGGGAGGGGTAGTTTCACTCTCACCTGTAGGGCCATAGGAAATTCCAGAGCAGTAGATACAAACAACAGAACCAAGATAGACCACCTTCCCCAATGTCTCTTTACTTGTTCTTGTTGTATTAAGCACATCAGTCACCAGCAACACCAAAGCCTGCTTCTCTTGGTTCTCCATTGACTCCTGGATAATGTGTGATCTCCTTTCTGGACCTGAGGCCTCCCCATCAGGGACTAGCTCCTTCCTGAGATGTCCACTCTCCTTTCTTTTTGACTCCCTCATTGCCATGTTTTTGCTGGTTTTCTACCCCATATAGATATTCCCTATTGTCAGCCTAGAGCATTCACCCTTACTTGTTACCCCCTGCTCCTGCCTCCCCAGGAACACTGTCCTGTGCCCTACCTACAGACGTCTCTGTCGCACTCAGTACTAGACCCTCAGTCCCTGGACCCTAGTCACTCAATCCCACAGTGCCACTGAGAACTCCTCCTCCTCCCACATGTGTCATTGGGTCCCATCTGTATTCAGGGTCCCTGGGAGGCGGGACCCCTTAGAGTCCAATCCACCACTGACCCCACCACAAGCCCTAAACCAAAATGTCCATGGGTAGTCACTGGGGCCATGAGTTCAACGTCAAGTTTACATTCTGGAGTGTGTGCTGGACACTGTGAATCATGAGCCAGCTCATCTTCTTAGGAGTTGGCAATGGGTCCTGAGAACCAGGAAGACTGCTGTGCTAGGAGCTAGCTCAGGACCTCGGGACCCAGCTCCATGTCCCACAGACAGACTGGACACGTGCACACGCACGGTCAGGTCACATGCACATGCTAGTACACACGCATGTCTGCTATTGCACACATGGCCAGGTTGGGCACGTGTCTAGGTGTATGCCACGTGTGGTGGCATACAGAAGCTTCCATGGGCCTCTGCTCAGCCAAAGGCACAGGCCCCATCATGTCTGTGTTGGAAACAGGTCTGTCAGCTCTGCCGGGTGGCAATCCCCAAGCAAGCTGAGCCACACACAGAGCTCCTTCCGGGAAGCTACCTGGGATGGGATATGTCACTCAGACACTCCCCGCTGCCCCTCCATGGCTCGGGACGGGGGGGAAGCTCACCCCCCTACAAGGACCTGAAGATGCGGGTGGGGAGGGAGCCCCTTCTCAAGCTCCCATGGGCCAGACCAGCCCCGACAAGGAGGAGGCTGGACTTTGAGCCTCCCAAGCAGCTGCAGGTGGGCCTGGTTTTGTCAGGGCGGCCGTGTGCTGCCAGGGGCGACAGAGGGTTTATGTTCCAGGCTGTGTCACTGTGTTATATGTTCTGCAGAGGGATCCAGGTGATTGTCCTAGGTGAGTCTCCCCCATTCTCTCTTTCGTGACCAGAATCAAATTTGGGGGCATTTTTCTCTCCTTTCTGTCCTGACTCTGACTGGGGTCTGAATTGCTCTGGCATTCTGGAAAGTTGACTTTTTGTCTGGCCATCTCACCCCCTGTAGCCTATTCCCGCTCTGCAGCACCCGGTGGGGACAGGATGAGCCAGTTCCTGTGACCCCTTCCTGCCCTCGTCGCTGGGACTCAGATCTGCTTCTCCAGTTGACCATCCCCACTGGCCTCTGGGATAGAAGGAATCTTCAATTTTCCTCATGGGGTAGTTTCATTCTTACCCAGAATGGCCAAGAGAATATTCCAGAATAGAAGACAGGCCAGCAGGACAGGACAGCCCACCCTCTGCTCCTTCCTATGTTTACCATTCTTGTGTGGACCATGTCCCACCCCGAGTGGTCTTCAGGCTAATGGCTAAGCTACTCCCTGGAATCCTGGGGTCTCACTGGCTGGGAAGGGAGGAGAGCCTGAAAGACAGACACCATGTTAAAGACAGAAGGACCAAGCTAGACAGACAGAAACCCTGCATGAAGACACTAGGGAGAGTTAACTGGGGGAGATCTCAGGCAGACCAATGCTGGAGGACAGATGGATTTCTCAAGGAGCTCTAAGGTCTCAAGGCTGATACAAACCAGGAACAGGACAGCTCAGGGCTGGGATGGCTCAGGGGTGGGATGAGGACAGGTGAACCTGTAGAGGGACTAAGACTAAAGAGAGGATGCCAGGGCTCCCCCAACTGAGGCATTGGGATGCTCCCAACAGGCCTGGAGGGCTTTTGCCAAGGCTCATACCTGTCATCCCCAACCCTGCTCCAGGCACCCAATCAGCTCTCAGTAAAATGTTCTTTTGTCAATCAGAAATCATGCTCTCTGCTAATTTCTTTGGGTCTCATACTTGATTAGCAGCGTCTCCAGGATTCTCAGGGCGACGTGCATGAGATCGAGGTAGGAAAGTAGCCCAAGAAGAGCAGCCCACACTCTCCTTGGGACATCTCTCGGGATATGAGGAGTCTGGTCACTAGAACCTCTGTCTCTCTGTCCTCTCCTTCCACCATTCCTCCTCCAGCACAGAACCATGCCCATTCCTAGCTATCCTCTGGTCAGAGGAGCCATGGCTATGACCTCCAGATAAGCTCTACCTCCCTGACCTTGTGGGGATCCTCTACATCCTGGTGTCATCTCTTTCCTCAATCTGGAAACCCTGCTCTGATCTGGGCCCCCTCTGCTCCTGGCCTTTGTCCCCCTATGCCCTCCTCCGCCCACCCTGCCCAGCTCAGCTTCTGTCCACTTCACCCCCTCCCTATCACTCCCTCAGGCTGGACCAACAATAGGGTCCAGGACACTCCAGTAGCTCGGTTTCACAGGCTCTTGAATCTGGGGGCCACTTGAATTCCTCACTGGATGGCAGGTTCAGAGATTTAAGAGGAATAGAAGGAAGCCAGGAAGAAAGTGTTGCACATAAGGCCTGCTGGGAGGTTTGGGCATCTGCAAAAGCTCTGAGCTCCCCAGGAACCGGTGCAAGGAGGGAAATAGGTAACCCACAATTTCTCTGAGAAAGACACCCTGCTGAAGGGAAACCAGTGTCTCAATGCCAAGGCCAGTATCTTGTACCATAATAAAAAGTGGAAATCTGTTTCACCTGAGGCCTCCCCAGGGATGGTACTTGGGCTCAGACACACACACAGATAACCCTCCAGCTGCCTCAGGATACATCAATGACCTTGAGGACGATTCCGCTGCCTCTGCATGGAGAACCCCCTTTGTTCCTGTCTCCATTACCACCAGGTCACCAGAGCCCGGTGGGGCGGGAGTGGTTACCTAGTTACAGTCCCCTGATTTGGCCCAGTGCATCCCTGCCAGGCAAGCTCCTGCCCCTGGATCTAGAATGGACCCCCTGGAGCCAAGTCCCAGAGCCCCACACCCACTGCAGGCCCAACCCACGCCCACTCTGCCTGATGGCCCCTTGGCTACTCCGGGGCCTATGAGCCACTCCCCATTTGTGCCCCAGCTCTGCCAAAGAAAGATGAGGTACTATTCCAAGTGTGAGGCTCAGAAAGTCACCCACCATCTTCTGGGGGCCAGGGGAAGCATCACTTATTCAGAATTCTCTTCACTCAACCCTGGAAGTCACTGGGGAAAGCAGAGTCCATCTGGGAATGTTCTGGGTGGTGCTGTGGGGCTCCGGAGACCTGGGGTTCTGGCCACTCTCAGACATGAGGGGTGGTGAGTAGACCCAGCCCCAGCACCCACAGCCCTTTTTGCTGGGCCTCTGGGCTCCCGCTCCCCCCTCTGCACTCTGGGGTCATAAAGGGGGGTGGGCCAGTCATGTCACCACTCAGTGGTGGCCGCACTAAGTGTCCTGGGTAAGTTGCTCCCTTGGCTCCTTGAATCCATTCCCTGTGGCTGCTGTCACAAATCACCACAATCTTAGCTCCTGAAAACAACATACACTTATTATCTTACAGATCTGGAGGTCAGAAGTCTGAAACAGGTCCCAAAGGCAGAAATCAAGGTATCACTGGGCCGCTCCTTCTGGGGGTACCAGGGGAGAATCTGTGACCATATTCCTGGGCTTGTGACACCTCCTTCCCTCTTGCCAAAGCTGCAGTGGCATCTTCAATTCTCTCCCTTTCTCTCTAACCTCTGCTTCCACAGCCACAACTCTTCTCTCTCTCTCTGACTCCCTGCCTCCCTCTTCTTTTAGAAAGACTCTACCTGGGGCCACCCACATAATCCAGGATCACCTCCCCACCACAAGGTCCTTAATTCTAGCACATCTGCAAAACCCTTGTTGCCAGGTAAAAAACTATATTCTGGGAGTTAATAGGTAGACACCTCTGGGGGCCTTATTCAGCTGACTATAACTCCATTGCCCCATTCCCTGGGCGTCTGGGAACTTTCTTCCATATTCCTTTCTCTCCCTGCATCTTGCTCAGTCTGGGCCACTCTTGGGGCCTCCTTAGCCCAGGCTCTCCCCTCCTTTTCTCTGGTCTCCTTCAGGCCCTTCTCCTCCTGGGGTCACAGGAAAAGGACTTTGATTTTAGCTACGGCTTTGGGGCATTCTTTCCAGGTGGTCCCCAGTTAAATGCTCTCTAGGCCTTACCTATCACTGCCTTCTACCCTTGGAGGAAGAGCCTATTATACTCCTTGTCCTAAGAATGGAGACACCAAGGCCCAGAGACCCTGAGTGACTTGCCCAAGGTCACAGCAGGGAGTCAACCTGGACACCCCATCACTACCTACTCCAGATCTCGGCTCCTGACCCCAGGTCACAGACCACTGTCAGCTCCCTGTCCACCTCAGCCAGGCCCTCCTGATTTGTCCAGCTACCTCCCTGGAGAGCTCTGAGCCCCTCTGAACTCAGGTCCCTGTCCCGGGACCCACGGCCTCAGGGGATAGAGTTATGGGGGCCAACGAAGGACCAAGGAAAACAGAGCCTGAGTCAGAGTGTCTGGAGTCCTCACGCCCCTTCACCTTCCTCTGGGTCAAAAATCAGGGTCAGGGCGCT